TAGCAAGTCTGCAGACTAATCAGCATCTGGCATGGTATCTGTCTGAATGGGAGTCCTTACTGATAAGCAGTGGTGAGAATTTGGTCAGGATATCTTCAAGCTAAGCAGTATTGGTCAGTCTGTTTTGACAGGTGAGCAAGGCAGAGTAGGGCCTAGAGCAGGCATGTCCAAAGTCCGGCCCGCGGGCCAATTGCGGCCCGTGTTCCGGTTTAATACGGCCCCCGCTTCCTCCCCCTCTCCTGGCTCCCCGGCGCTTTTTTTGAACTGGCTTGCTCAGCGCACCGCTTCTGGCCGCGCCGCCGCCGCCCATGGCCTCCGTGGTCCTAGAGCCTGCCCTGTAGGGCACGTCCGCAGCCCCGCTCCTCCGCTCGGCTGCGGGTTCGCCCTGCCCCCAGGCCGCCATGAGGCCGGCGTGCCCTGCACTCTCCGCCCGCCTCCGACCCCGCGGGCCCTCCGCCTTGGGGCTGAGAGTGCGGGGACGGCCCTCACGCATGTTCACTTCTTCAAATCTGGCCCTCTTTGAAAAAAGTTTGGACACCCCTGGGCTAGAGTGACGTGTGTAGGCTCTTTAATATGAGAATGTGAAAGCTGAACTTGACTCTCAGTGCAGCAGGGGTTCAGAGGCAGTGAGGCTTCATTACAGAGTTGGAATCTGACAAAAATGCATTAAAAGAAAGCATGCTGCCATTCATGAGCAATCAATCAATATATGCAAAAACCAAGGTGTTGGTACATGAGATTATTTCAGACAGCATCTGAAAAGCTTGCCAGATGGTTTAACCAAAAAAACTGAACCCCTCCCCCCCCCCAAAAAACCCACTGTTGCGAAAAAAAGGGGGAGACCAAAGTTGTTGGGCCAAAAAACAAAAAACAAAAAACCGAGCATAGCCCCTTTAGTGGGGGGAAGGGAGAACTCGAGGGGGCTGGGGAAGGATCCGGGAGGGATCCGGGGGCTGATCCCAGTTGCTGAGTGTGTGTAGGGTTGCCTGGTGTCTGGTATTTTCGCCTCCTAGCAGGGAAAAAAATCAGAAAATATCGGACATTTTAGGTGTCCGGTATTTTCTGATTTTTTTTTACCGGACAGGAGGCGAAAATACCGGACTGTCTGGGTCAATACCAGACACCTGGCAACCCTAGCATCTGAGCAATTGGATACTTATACGCACATATGATATAGGCATCTCTCTAGGTGCCTTGATCCAACAGCCCACAAGCATGTCTTAACCACTGCAAGACTTGATTCCTTCTCCACCTTGATGTCTTCTTGTTTGGGGAAGCCTGATTCACATGTGGTGTGAGTAGGATGTATAGTAATCCCACTCCCCTATCAGGGGCTATTCTTCCAGCATCTGTAGGAGGCACCTCTTCCTTTTTCTTCTCCCTTCTCCACTTCTAAGAATGGCCTTTTCTTTTCTCTCTGTGCTATATACCATCCCCCTGGCATCCCATATCCCTCCACCTCATTCTGGAATGTGCCTCTCTGCTGCGAAGTGTGGTCCTCCTGCATCGTATTACCCCTCTCTTAGAGGGGGGCCCTCTTTTCTTCTGTGGTGTCCTCTACAAGTCCAGTCCTCTCGCTCCCTTTTAAATTTATAAGTCCCCATGCTACATTTCAAGCATACATAAACCTAAAGCCCCAGAGTATTTAACACTCTCCAAGCCCAAGGCAAACAGGTACCGCCTTCCCCACCAACTTCATCATTTTCATTTAATTTTTTAAAAACATCAATTATTTTAAAAAGGGTGAAAATATAAGCCTGAGAATATGTTTTACTATCAGTTAAAAGGAGCATGCTAATTTCTGCATCATACCATGAAATTATCTCTATTTATTAATGTAATAGATTATATAGTTCCCATATTTGAAGGAGCTAGCACATGCATTTACTGTTGATATAAAGCAGAGAGAAGAACTGTTATGTTCATAAAGGAATCAATGAGTGCCAAAACAAAGTCATCCCCTCACAACCAGCCCATCTGGACTAGCCAGCAAAAGAATCCATAGAAAAGTTAGTCCTAGTTCCAAATATGCTGGGTAGCATATAGGGGAAGATCATTGTCTTGATTCTGCAGCTGCCAACCACAACTCCTGGTCAAACTGGGCAGGAGACCCAGTGCTTTCTCTTGTAAATATTAGGAACGTGAGTGAAATTACTCCCATGGGTTATTTCAGTGATTTAAATAGACTACATGGATGGGCCCCACAGAAGCACACTGACTGCTACTAATTAGAGACCATCTAATCCTTACACATGGGATGCCAGGGGGATGGTGTATAGTTCCATTGAGTTCAGTGGCACTCAGAGTTAAGGCTCAGGCAGGAGCAGCCCGAGGCCGGCTGTGGCAGCTGGCGCCCCAGGCGGAACATGCGATCGGCGCCCCCACCTGCACGGCCGTCAATGGGGTGACGTCATCAGCGGGTGCCCCAGGCAAAGATAGGACCTCTCCCCTTCTCCCACCCCCATTTAAAACAGACTCACCTTAATCTAAAATAATCTTACTTGTTTTGTGATTTTTATAACGGCAATAACAACGTCATCTTCTGTCCCTCCTCATGCCCTGCTGCTGAGAGGACTCTGAAACTATGCTGTACAACTTGGGTCAAAGTGCTTTTCTAATTGCAGCTTTGCCTAGTGGAATACTGCACTAGAATGTCTGGGAGGCATATAGCTGCAGGGCAGTTGATGTAGAAGTGAAGTTTGTTTCTGTTCATGTTATAGTATTGAAACAAGCATGATTCAGAAGGGCTGAGGTCAGTAGAAAGATTCCCACTGACTATAGTGTGAGTTGGATCAGGCCCAGAGAGAGGTGCTAGAAGCCTTATGTACATTAGGAGAAGGAGCCAAATCCCTGTCACTGAAAAGCACATTGGTACCTTCTCAGAAAATGTAGGGCTTGAGAAACTAAACCGACACCGACACGGTGTATCACTAGGTGCACAGAGATGCTGAGAAATCAGCAATCTTCAGGTGTGAAGAGAATAGGAATGAAGGAACTGCCCATTACAAAAAAATATTTCTGGTAGGTGGATGATCCTAACTGGGACACTGCCCATTTTTACCTAATCCAGGTGTGGCCAACCTGAGCCTGAGAAGGACCCACAGTTTACCAATGTACATAGCCAAAAAGCTACAGTAATTTATCAGCAGGCCCCATCAGGTGCCTCCTCTCCCATCTCCAGTATCTTTTGTCCACCAGCAGCCCCACCGATCAATGCCTCTCCTTCCTTCCCCATGCCTCCTGCCCACTGCAATCAGCTGCTTCATGGCACTCAGGAGGCTCGGGTTGGGGGGAGGAGGAAGGAGCAAGAGTGCAATGCGCTTGGAGGAGGAGGTGGAGCCAGGAGTTGAGCACTGGAAAGTTGGCACCTGTAGCTGCAGTCCCGGAGTTGGTGCCTGAGCAAGGAGCGGC